CCCGGCTCCCAGCCCCACCCCCGGGATACCCCTGCCCCGGGACCCCCCGCCCGCAGCTGTGCCCGTGGCTGCCGCGGGCGGATCCAGATGGCGGAATATTGTCCTGGGCTAATTAGGGCCGCGTGGGGGCTGCGAGGTTCCCCCCTCCCCCCGGCAATCAAAGGGCCGATGACTTTATTAAGGCTCATTATGTGGGGGCTGGAGGAGCTGGACACGCAGCAGGCAGCCGTGATGGGATCGTGCCGGGACCGATGTGGGGAGCGCCTGCACGGCCCTGAGGGGCTGTGAGACCCCCCCAGCACGGAGGGGGACGGGGAGGAGGGGCTGCATAGCCCCACAGTGCACCCCTAAGCTCCCCATGGCTCAGCCCCCCATGGGTGCAGCCTATCTGGGGGTCACTGACTCCCCACATGTAGCCCCCAGCTCCTGGAGCTCCTGGCACAGAGGGGATCCAGGTCTTGAGACCCCCATAGCAGCCTCCAGCCCACCCCCAAGGAAAGCAGGGACTCAATGGGCTTTTCCACAATTTTATTCCAAAAATAAATTCAAAGTGGGGTATAAGTTATGGGGGTTGGGGGTGGGAGCAGGGCTGCACTGGGGGGGCAGTGCCCACCCCCCAGCCCTACCTCCTCTTGTCCTTGATGCTGTAGTGCAGCAGGAGCGGCGCGGGCTGTGGGGTGAAGGGGGGTCAGGGATGGAGGGATCCCAGCCCCCATCTGGGGGCACAGACCCCAGATCCCAGCCCAGGGACCACCCCCAGGGCAGAGACTCCAAACCTCAGTCCAGGGAATGCCCCCAGACAGGGACCCCCCATCCCAGCCCATGACCCCAAACCTCAACCCAAGATCCCCTTGGGGCAGAGACTCCAAACCCCAGCCTGGAAGTGCCCTGGAAGTGCCCCAATCCCAGCCCAGGGACTCCCCTGGGGTTGCACCCCAAACTTGGCCAACCCCTTTGGGGACCCCCCTCCATTGCCTGACCCATGCAGGGGCCAGGGACCTCCCCAAATCACCACTTAGACTAAAGATCCTCAATCCCCCAATCCCACACTGCCCTGAACCACCCCCAGAGGGTCATCCCACCACCCCCCGGCTGGGTGCACCCCAAAATCAGAGGTTGCCACCCCTTCTGATGGATGCACACCTTGCCAAACCAGCGTGACAGCCAGAGCTGCTTCATTGTCATGTGGTCGGGGAGGGGCTCGTTGTCAAACAGGATCTGCACCTGCACAGGGAGGCTGCATCAGGGGGGAACAGGACTCCCCTGGGGGCTGGGAACCCCCCTGAACCCCCACTCACGTGCTGCAGGGACAGCCCCAGCCGGTGGCACAGGACCCTCCGCAGGTGTCGGATCTGCGCCCGTACCGAGCACCTCACGTATTTCTGCTGTGAGGGGCAGAGCGGGTTGGGGGGCTGTGGTGGCCTCCAGGGACCCCACACCCCCCTCCCCCGGGACCCTACACACCCCTGTCAGGGCCAGGGTGAGAGCTGGGGGTCAGGGGTGGGGACTGCAGGGATCCCCACTCACCTGCAGCACAGCCTTGCTCTTGTCCTTGCTGGAGCTGTGGCAGGAAGAGAAAGGGACACGTGTCCAGGGTCTCAGGGGTGGGAGCCATGCCCAATGTCCCCCGTGTCCCCTCCCCACCACACCGAGGGGCTGCAGCCCCCCTGGACTCACCTCAGCTTCTCCAGGCAGAGCGAGACGTGCTCGTCGTAGCGGAAATAGTGGGCACGCGAGTGGTCAAAGGTGCTGTAGGGGAGCCCCATGGGGTCACCTCCCACCGTGTCTGGGGACACAGGTGGCACTGTCAGCCCCCTGTGCCCCCGACACCCCCCAGCACCGCAGCTGGCTGCCCCCTGTTCCCCCCTGTCCCACCATCACCGCTGGGCTGCGTCACCCGGTCGAGGCCACGGGACTGGTAGAACTCCCGGATCCGCTTCTCCTCACCTGCAAGGGAGAGGTGGCTCAGGGACACACCTGGGCCCATCTGCCCCTGAGGACAGTCCCTGGCTGTCCTCCCTCCCTTCACTGCTCCCACTGCACCAAGCACCCACCACAGACCCTGTTCCTGTCCCCATCCCTCTCTCTCTCCCCATCCATATCCCCATTCCTATCCCTGAGTCCCCCATTCCTCATGTCCCCTGTATTGTGCTGCAAGCCATGGCCCCTTAGCCCACCATGGCCCCTGAGCCCCTCATGGCCCCTGAGCCCCCCTTGTCCCCCGTACTGTGCTGCAGGCCGGGCACCAGCTTGTACACGATGTCCTGCATGACCCGGTCCAGTTTCAGGTTGAGCAGCGGCTGCGTCTCGTGGATCTTGGTGTTGCACATGGGGCAGTACTTGCTGGTCTGCAGGTACTTCACGATGCAGCTCTTGCAGACTGGGGACAGGCACAGGTGTGACAGGGCTGGAACCTCACCCCCCACAGGACTCACAGCCCCCCTTCCCCAGCCCCCCAAGGGTGGGGACACTCACAGGTGTGCAGGCACTCGGTGATGGTGGTGGCGTCGATGAAGTACCCGGCGCACAGGAAACACACGATGTGCTCGTTCAGCTCCTTCATCTTCACCTTCACCTCCTCCTGCGGGGGGGACACATCGCTGTCACCTGGAGACCACCCCCACGAGACCCCTCTCATCCTTCACTTGGAACCCCTTAGCCCAAGGGGTTTCTCCTGCCATTCCCTTAACATGATAGAAAATGGGATTTTGGGAGGAGCTGCACCTCTTGTTTTGCGTTAATATGCTAGAAAACAGATTCTGAGGGGCTGGCCGCCCCCGTCTTGCTAAAATACATCAGAAAATGGGATTTTGTAGGGGTTGCTCCCTGTCTTCTATTATTACACCAGAAAATGGGATTTTGAGAGGCTGGCCTCACTCTCTTACTTTAATATGCCAGAAAATGTGCTTCTGGGGGGCCAAGCCTCCTTTTTTCTCTTATTATGCCAGAAAACAGGATTCTGGGGTGGGCTGTGTTTCCTGTCTTCCATTATTATGACAGAACACGAGATTTTGGGGTGCTGCACCCCCCGTCTTTCCTTAACATGCCAGAAAACAGGACTGACCACTCTGCATTCCATTATTACGCCAAAGAAACGGGATTTGAAGGGGGCTGGGTCCCCTGTTTTGCCTTAGTATGACAGAAAATGGGATTTTGGTGGTGCGGGGACACCCCCAGCCCAGAGCCTGCCCCGAGCCTTGGCCACGCCCCCTTCCCT